TCACACATCCAGAAGATGAAAGTAGCAGAGATGAAGATGTTGAGGTGGATGTGCGGGCATACACAGATGTATAAGATTAAGAATGAATATATTCGAGAGAAGGTGGGTGTGGCCCCCATGGAGGACAAGATGTGGGAAGTAAGACTCAGATGGTTCGGGCACATTCAGAGGAGGAGCACTGATGCACCGGTGAGGAGGTGTGAGCGACTGGCTGTGGTGGGCACGCGGAGAGGTAGAGGGCGACCTAAGAAGTATTGGGGAGAGGTGATCAGACAGAACATGGCGCGACTTAGAATTACTGAGGACATGGCCCTTGACATGGAATTATGGAGGTCGAGCATTAAGGTTGTATGTTAGGGGAAAGTTGTGAATATTTCTACAGTACAATAGAGTGAAACTAGCCAGTTAGGAGTTAGACTAAGAATGTCATTGGTCGTCTATTGATGCAGGGCTTTACCTGCTAGTTTTACTATACCAGCCATCTATTTCGTATTTCGTATTCTGTATTTCATATCTCTTATATTGCTGTTATTTTATTATGCATTTTTATGGTACTAATATATCGGCTCATGTTGCTTTTTTGAGCCGAGGGTCTCCTGGAAATAGTCTCTCTACCCTTCGGGGTAGGGTAAGGTCTGCGTACATATTACCCTCTCCAGACCCCACTTGTGAGATTATACTGGGTCGTTGTTGTTGTTGTTTTCAAGAAAATAATTAAAAGAGAAAACTCAAAAATGTTCTTTATGAATTTATGTTTCATTACTACAAATTCTTGAAGGATATAAATTTCCCTCCTTTTTATCGTTAAGTCCCAAATTGAATTCCTTCCTCTTCTTGCATGAATGGAGACTCCACAATACGATAAAACTCGACATTGACACGACTCACGAGCACAATTAATGTTCAAGAAAAATAAGACATTACATGATCGTGATGTATCATATTTAACTACGACGAAAATTTGTCTAATCAAAAATTTTTAGTACATTATAATCAAAAACTAAAACCTTTTGATTAGAAGTGCACACCATGATGTTATTCCTCTTGTTCACTTTAAGTGACTTTTTTAATTTTTTTTTGTGGTCCATGGGATTTGATTCTTTTAAATATTAAGAAGGAATTAACTTCTTTTTTCCAAAGTTGCCCTTGGAGTAAAGAGTGTAAGAGTAGTTTATTATATTTTTAATGAGCAAATTAAGGTTAATATTGTCAATTGCATTGTTAATTACTCCCTCCGGTCCAAAATAAGTGGTTTTTTACATGTTTTCACACAGATTAAGAAATTCACTTTTTAATATTAATTAGCAATGAAATTAACCATATTAACCTTTATTATCTCTTCACATAAATTCTCCTAACACACACTCCAACACTATTTACTCCAAGGGCAATGTAGGAAAAAAATAATTAATTCATTTTTGAAATCTGGAAAATCACTTATTTTGGACTACAAAAAAAGGCCAAAAAAATCACTTATTTTGGACAAACAAATCTTAATAGAATATTAATGACAATGAATTCTTAATATGTATGAAAAGAGCCAAAAAATATTTAAAGTGAACCGGAGGGATTAATTGTTACGTGAGAGCATCTTGAGACAAACAAATCACGTCGAATATTAATGACTCATTTCTAAAATCACGAAAAGCTAGGACGTCAAGTTAATTAATCTCTTAATAGAAGTAGGGAGTAGGTAAAACTAAGGAAGTACAGCAAACACAAATTTTCTTTTTTATTTTAATCATTTAGTATTCGGAATTGGTCAGACTAATTTAGATTTATCTTCATAAAATTTATTTAATGAGGAAGCGCTCCTACTAAGAATTGTGAAATATATACTCCTTCCGGTTCAATTTAATTTATCTTTTGGATATTTTCACAAATTAAAGAATTCACCTTTTAATATTATTATATCCAGTCCACTTTAACTAATTTTTTGGCCTTTTTCGTGGTTCATAATTAAAGAGCCTAGGAGTATTTGTTATATTTCTAATGAATAAATTAAGGTTAATATGGTCAATTTCATTGTTAATTAGTGCTAAAAGATAGATTCCTTAATATGTAAGAAAACAACCAAAAAGTCAATTAAAGTGGACCAGATGGAGTAATTAACAATGAAATTGACCGTATTAGCCTTTATTATCTCTGTAATTTGTTCACGAAAAGAATGATATTACGAGACTCTTTATTCCAAGAGCAACTTTGATATAAGAAAGTTAATTTCTTCTTGATATTTTAAAAAAATTGCTCCATCTGTTCTAATTTATGTGAACCTGTTTGACTGGGCACGAGTTTTAAGAAAAAAATGAAGACTTTTGGAATTTGTGGTCCTAAATAAATTAAAAAGGGACCAAAGTATTTGGGTGATTATAAAAGCTTCTTATTAAGGGTAGAATTGTAAATTTAAGCTAAATTATTACCAAATTTAAAAAGGGATCATTCTTTTTGAAACGGACCAAAAAGAAATAAGTTCACACATACCGAAAGAGAGGGAGTAAATATCATGGACCATCAAAAATAACCGAAAAAAATTAATAAAAGTGGAGCGGACGGAGTATGTTTGATAACGCGAGTTGCATAGTCAGACAACAAACATTCCGGTCAAACATTATCTCCAACGCAAATGTTGGAGAAGTCTTACGTACTTGACACAAGAATTTCCCAATAAAAAGCCATAGATACAAGTGTAACATCACAAAGGAATGACACGGCATTTTTAGAAAAACACACAAAATAATACTACTGTAGTAGATTACAATATCCCACGAATTCTACCTACTTTTGGGAATCTTGTGTTTGGAAATAATGCATGCGCTGATCCAACTTCTACATTTCCTTTTCTATAGTACTACGTGATTGGTTTGTCTCATCATTGACCCACTCCGAGTTTCTCCACTCAACAGAGTCATCCCTTTTCATTGACTCAGTACGGGTTTGGATGATTTCCCGAAAATTAGGATCGGAGTTTTAGACTTGTTCTGCTTCGATAAAATCAATATGATCGTAACAAAAATAACAAACATCCAATTATTCTCATCACTTGCATTATTTGCTAATAAGTTGAAATGAAACAACTAATTTTAACACGAAACAAAGTAAAATTAGTAAATTTATAATAAATATTCTGGATCCACCCATGCGTCTACTGCATGACTTTATCTGCCAATATCTCCCTAATCAACAACGTCCGTCTTGACATATCCTTTTGTACCTTCCCTTCATGTTGTGCACAAGTCTTGGTAACTGTGGTAGTAATAATACTGCAATCTTTTCTGCATCTTTTTCGTTTCCTTTTCAAAAGTGTAAGGCTACGTAATATATTCCACAAAGGATATTTAGTTGGCTCTACTATCACATTCTCCATTTCCATCACAATTTCTTGGATTGAAGGTCGAGTTATTTTCTTTGTAGAAACACAACGTGTAGCAATGCGTAACATGTTCTTTATCGTGCCTTCCATATACCATGGCACATGCATTCTTTTGTCACAAATTTCCAAATCACGTCCCTCTTTAATCAATGTTGTTGCCCAATCAACTATAGAAACTGGTGATTTTGAGACATCGATCACTTTTCTTGAAGACATAATCTCCAGGAGTAATACACCAAAACTAAATATATCATTTTTTGTGCTTAATTTGCTTGGTTTGGTGTAACTGGGATCTAAGTATCCGATCGTGCCAGCAGGTCGAGTTACCGAGTTGGAACGATGACTCGGCGAGCAGGGATCATCATCTTCACAATCATTTTTCATCCTTAGGGCAAGTCCAAGATCAGCTAACTTAGCATTCCAATTTGAATCAAACAAAACATTAGTAGATTTAATATCTCTATGAACAATTGAAGGCTTAGTTTGGTGAAGAAATTCGATTGCTTTAGCTACTTGAATTGCCACTTGGGCACGTTTAGGCCAAGGAGGAGGGACGATTTTTGCATGTAGCATTTCATGTAGAGTGCCATTTGGCAAGTATTCCATGATAAGAAAAGTTTCATTCTTGGCCGAGTTATTATTACTCGTTCCAAGAAAATTAACGATGAAAGAGTTTTCGGACAGAGATGATAAAATACTTACTTCATTTTCTAGTTTGGAGTAGTCTTGAATTTTTTGAAGTCCTAATGATTGCTTCTTTATGGCTATGATTTTACCATCTTCTAGAATTCCTTTGTATACACATCCATGGCTTCCTTTACCAATGAGTCTTGATTTTGAGAAGTTTTCTGTGGCTTTTTCAAGCTTTTCATACTCAAATACCTTCATTTTTTTCCTCTCCCAAATACCCTTTTTTCTCATCTAGACCTTCTGCTGCTTCCTCTTGTTTGACAAGAAGATATAATGAAAATCAGAAACTTTGGTTGTTGGAAACCATATTTTGGTTATTATGAAATGAGCATATTCTTTCTGTTGTGACTTTGGAGGTTTAATATATATAGAAAACAAGGGAATATTTATAGCTTACACCTTAGGCAGCAAATAATTTTTCTTTGTTTATTCGAGTTTGCATTATTTATTGTCATTCTAAATTCAGTAATACAAAACACGTAAATATATCTGCAATTACTATTGACTTGTGTAATCATAATGTTTGTTTCTTAAAACGACCGAATTTCATGAATTTAAGTTTTATACATTGACAATATTATAAAAATTGTTAAGTACATTGTAATTTAACTGGTCCCAATAGATCGCGATTATCCACCACCTGTCTAGGTTAACTACACATTTTAAGTGTAATCACTTACTTTACCCGAATTTTTAGAAACTAATTGTAGAAATACTTTATGATTAGTGGAGAAAACTTATTAGTGTCAATCTTTATAACAGTCATACTCTATAACAATACTTCATTATAATGATCAAGTTTTCTTTGGAACCAACTTGTCATAATATATATTTTGTATAACAACAGTTCACTATAGCAGTCAGGACAAACAAAGTTGGTACAGGGAGAGTTGATTGTTAGCTTGAGAGATGTAAGGGAATAAACCTAATAGGTGATGAAACATAAGGTATATTACATTGTCTTCTCATTCATGTTAAGTTTACAAAATTGCTTATTAGCAAACCTAAATATTGAAAGTCGTGGTAAATAAATAAGAAGAAAGATACTACTAGTACAATTCCAACTAGAGAAAATAAGATTATTGGGGTTTTTTTCAGTGGTGGGGTTAATAAAAAAAATAAACTAAGGAACAGAAAAGAAAAAGTGAAGGAATTGGGCAGAGCAAAAGGCAAAGGTACTCACTGTCACTACAAGAGAGTGGTAAAATTAGCTGGTTCTTGGCCCCTATTCTCCTTTAGTGCCTTTTTCATACTTTTTTGTGTACCAGATTGGCCATTGAAAATTTTCTGGGGATCTAAAAAAGATTCTCATTTTATGGAATTATTAGGTCTTAATATGCTTAAATCACTTTTGTAAAAGCTGAAGCAACCTTTTTCAAATTTTAATTTCATTGTCTTGGGCTGTCACTTCCTTTTTTTGCTTTTTGAACTTTAGAAAATCCATTCTCATTTTACTCCTGGCAGAGTTGTGGTCACAGATACAATCACCCATTAAACAACTATTCTTACGAAATGTTCTGATTCTCGTATATCAAAACTTCATGCTTTTTTTTTTTTCCAAATGAAAGGAATTGGTGTTTTTCTTATTCTCTAGTTTTAAAAATTGTACTCCAACATTAAAGTGTCATTAATTTTTACTATCAACCAATAGTTTAAGAAATTATTTTCCGTTATCTCTAGTTTTATTTGTTTTGAATACATTTAGAAATAGGTGAACCGAGATTCCATTGGAAACAATATTATTTAAGCAAAACTTCTCCTATCCCAAAGTGTGTCAAGCAATTTCTACATTCGGTGAATAGAAATTAAATTATTCTTTAAAATACAAAAGAAAATTGGCAAAAACTTTTAAACTCATCTTACAAACAGTTAAGTATAATATTTAGTTAAAACTTCACTTACAATATTTTTTTTTCCAAGCATCCAGAATATCAAAGACTATTTAGGTAAAGATCCCAATCTGACGCGACGAATAACTTGAGTAAAAATTGTGTAGGATAGTCACTTTTTAAACTGGTATTTACTTTTTATCCAGCATTTTTAATGCTTAGCAATAGTAGCCACTAGTCTTCTAAAATTAATATGAAAAGATTGTGTTGCCCTTTCTTCTATCTCTTTCAAGTTAGGGAGAAGAAGTGTACCAAAAAGATTTTCTTCTTTAGTGTTTCTTGGGGCACCATTTAACGAGATGATTGCTCTTCGAAGGCTAATTCCTCTTTACTTAACTATAAATCAGAGGCTACCATTTCTCGATAACACATTAGATTTGATTCATACAACGAGGTTTCTTGATGGCTGGATTGATTTTGTGTTGCTGGATTTTGTGTTGTATGATTTTGATAGAGTTTTGAGGCCTGGTGGGCTTTTATGGATTGATAGCTTTTTCTATTTGAAGGAAGAATTGAATGATTATTTTGAAGCATTCATGATTCTGAAGTATAAGCAACAAAAGTGGCTTGTTGTTCCTAAACTAGATAAACATGACCGTGAAGTGTTCTTTTCTGCGATCCTAGAACAACAAACTTTAGAAAACAAACTTTCTGAATTTTATTTATTTTTCTTTTTCTTTTGGTTGGTTAGGTTCTGTAGTCTTTTATTTGTTTAGTTGTTTCTTTTTGTTATTAGCTTTCTGTTGTGTAATTTGACATCAATCTTATATGTAAATTGCAATTATTATTATTATTATTATTATTATTATTATTATTATTATTATTATTATTATTATTATTAAATACAAATAACGTTTGGTTTTCTGCTATGTCATGGATCCTGAACTTACAGTTACAAGTTAAAAAGTTAAGGACACTTGGTCATGAACTTTGAGTTCCAAGTTCAAAAGTTAAGGACACTTGGTTCTGAATTTAGAATTATAAGTTCAAAAATTAAGGACGCTTGGTCCTGAACTTAGACTAACATGCTCAAAAGTTAAGGACAATAGGTCCTGAATTTACAGTTACAAGTTCAAAAGTTAAGGACAATAGGTCCTGAAGTCCTGAACTTAGACTAACAATCTCAAATGTTAAGGATAATAGGTCCTGAACTTAGACTAACAATCTCAAAAGTTAAGGACAATAGGTCATGAACTTAGACTAAGAAACCCAAAAGTTAAGGTCAATAGGTCCTGAACTTATAGTTACAAGTTCAAAAGTTAAGGATAATCGGTCCTAAAGTCCTGAACTTAGACTAACAAGCTAACAAGTTAAGGACAATAGGTAGGAACTTAGGCTAAGAAGCCCAAAAGTTAAGGACAATAGGTCCTGAACGTAGAATAATAAGCTCAAAAGTTAAGGACACTTGGTCCTGAACTTACAATTACAAGTTCAAAAGTTAAGGACATGTAGTCCTGAAGTTAAGTTCAGAAGTTAAGGACGAAGTCCTGAAGTTAAGTTCAAAAGTTAAGGACATGTTATCCTGAAGTCCTCAACTTAGAGTTCCAAGTTCAAAAGTTAAGGACATGTAGTCCTGAAATTCTGAAGTTAAGTTCAAAAGTTAAGGACATGTAGTCCTGAAATTCTGAAGTTAAGTTCAAAAGTTAAGGACATGAACAGAAGGGTATTTTTGTCCGGGCAGTTAAAATTTATTAAAACAGTGGTTAAAGACTAAAGACACATGAAACAGTGACTTAAAAGTAAATACATGTGTTATTAGTGGCTAACCGTGCACTTTCCCCCATAATTTGATTCGCACAACAAAGGCACATATAGAGTGTAAAATGCTCCCTGCCGAAGGATAACTCTATTTTCGTGGTCGGCCCAAATTAAGATTGTGGATGTATTGGATTTTGGCCCAAAATTTCTACCGGCAATAGGAAGCAGTGAGCCCATAACTTTTGTTGAAATATTAACCCAAATAGCCATTTACTCAACCACTTAAATTAAAAATAGCCGGTGGATGTATAATTTATGTATTATATGTGTATAATTATGGATAATCAATGTATAATCTATATATATGACTAGAAAAAGTAAATAATGAATATGACCGGCTATTTGTGTAAAGAACTCTTTTGTCTTTATCTCCTGGGGGATTTGCATCTATACCTGCTTTTTTGGGTCACGTTTTCACTTATACCCGCTTTACAAAAAAAAAAATGCAAGTGTACCCACTTTTGGTGTAAACTTGAGGCATACGGGCCTGAATTAGCAAAGACAATCACGCAAACTTCAACATTCTAGTAGATGACTGAACTTGTTTGTAATTGTTGAACTTAAGCATTCTACTAGCTGAAGTTTTGTTCTTTATTTACAGAACTTAGCATGTTTTAGCTGAAGTTTTGTCCTGGATTCAATAGTTTTGTCGTAAAGCTTTTTCAAAAATTTCAGCAGAAGATGCTGAAGTTATTTAGTTCATTTATAAAAACTTCAACACTAAATAAGCTGAAGTTTTGTCTTGGATTCATTAGTTTTGTCATAAAGATTTTTCAAAAACTTCAGCAGAAGATGCTGAAGTTATTTAGTTCATTTGTAAAAACTTCAAACTCTAAATAAGCTGAAGTTTTTGTCCTACAGTCGTACTAGCTGAAGTTTTGTCCACTATTTGCTGAACTTCAGCATAATAGTTCAACTTTCAAAGCCTAGTGTAAGAATTGTATCAATAAAGACTCAATCAACTTGGTGTTTGATATTTCATTCTTGGATCTATCTGAATTCATTGCAAATAAAATAAATACAGACAATGAATTATAAATAGATGAAGAAAAGTTCTAAAAGGTCGTTTCAGCAAAAATGGCAGTCACTATGAGCAAATCAGCAGTAAAATATACTACATATTACAAAAAATAAAGAGTAGAATAAAGAGTAGAAAAGAAAGGAGGAAGAAAGGAGCGCACAGGTAGCAGGAAGAAGGAGGCGCCTGAAGTTGTAAAAATTAGGGTATAGGTTAAATAATTTTAAAAATATGGGTATAGGTTAAATGGGGACGACCAAATAGGGCGACCCCGTGCAATTTTTACTTATCTCCTTGTTACAAGTACCGAGCAATGGCACTAATAAAAGCCCAGTACTCAATAAACCAAAAAGCCACACAATCAGCCCATAGTTCAATTTCAAGGGGGGAAGTGCACGGTTAACCACTAATAACACATGTATTTACTTTTAAGCCACTGTTTAAAATGTCTTTAATCTTTAGCCACTGCTTTAATAAACTTTACATGCCTGGACGAAAACACCCTTCTGCTCATAAAGTTCAGGACCAAGTGTCCTTAACTTTTGAACTTGCAACTCTAGGTTCAGGACTTCAGGACTACATGTCCTTAACTTTTGAACTTGGAACTCGAAGTTCAGGACCACCTGTCCTTAATTTCTGTGCTTGTAACTCTAAGGTAAGGACTACTTGTCCTTAACTTT